AGCAAGAGAGAAAGATAGAAAGGGAGAAAGAGAGAAAGAGAGAAAGAGAGAAAGAGAGAAAGAGAGAAAGAGAGAAAAAGAGAAAGAGAGAAAGATAGAAAGAGAGAAAGAGAGAAAGAGAGAAAGAGAGAAAGAGAGAAAGAGAGAAAGAGAGAAAGAGAGAAAGAGAGAAAAAGAGAAAGAGAGAAAGAGAGAAAGAGAGAAAGAGAGAAAGAGAGAAAGAGAGAAAGAGAGAAAGAGAGAAAGAGAGAAAGAGAGAAAGAGAGAAAGAGAGAAAGAGAAAGAGAGAAGGAGAGAAAGAGAGAAAGAGAGAAAGAGAGAAAGAGAGATGGGGCTTGAGGTCAGGGGTTTCCCCCTTCCCCGCGCTCTAGGCGTGTCCCCACGTGTTGTGGTTGCTGGTTCGTTTGAACTCGCGGGGGTTGATATCAGGGCAGAATCTCGCTCTCTCTCTCTCCCTCCCTCCCTCCCTCCTCCCTCCCTTTCAACCCAAAACCTTCCCCACACCCACTGAACACCTCGCCCCACCCCCTCCACCATTCGGGCATCGAGAGAGGTGCTTCAGATGGGAGAGAAAAAAAACGTCTCCGTGCCATCATGCAACTCTGGCCTGCCCCTCCGCTTCTCAAAATCTTCACGTGACTTTCCAGGAGACTCTGCTGAGGCCGCTGCTCGACAAAGCCCAGCGATCTCAGCTCGATGAGCAGGTGCGGCACGCGAGTCTGCTGGTCCAGCGTCTGCCTCAAGATCATGGCCAAGCTGCGCAGGCGCTTTATACCTCTTACCTGGATTGCTCCTGCAGACTTCGGTTCACAAACCTCCCCGTAAGGGAGCTAAACGCCGTATCGTGCTTCCCTAGTTGCCAGCATTCTTTGAGCCGGGGGACCAGAAAGCCAGAGCCCATTCAAAAGCACTACTCTGCCACTGCGCTGTGCTGAAGGAACCCTGATTGTTCAACGAGAAGTCTGCTGAGGTCTGCCCAGCTGCATGACCTTCTTCTGCCTTGCGTGGGCCTCATGCACAGGGCATCAGGTCTGGAAGAGTGGGTTCAGGGCTGGTGCCAACATCGGGCCTCCTAGGAACCTGTAAGTCAAGTCTCCCATTGCACTCGAACTGCCCAAAAGGGCCCTTTTCCCTTGCAGAAAAGCTCCAAACATCTCCAAACCCTGCGCGGAGGAGCGGTCCTCGATCTCCGAGTGCTCTTTTTGGGCAATAGCCCACTCGACGGTCTTGGGCCGGGCCCAGGGCTTTTGGTCGAGAGGCTCAGGCTTAAGGGCTTCCACTTTCTCAGAGAATGATGGCCCAGTTGCCCATATCAAAAAATCCCTGCCTAAACTGTCCGTCTGTCAATACAGCACCAGCTGGTATACGGAAGGAGGGGCGTTGTGAGATGTTGTGAGGTTGTGAAGGTCTGGGTGGCTTTAGCCGGTCAACACACTGGTACAATAGCACGACGCCTTCCATCCTGCAAGCATCGACTGATTTCTGCGGTGCTTCGAGGGATCCATCCCAAATATCCGAACCACCGTCCGCCCAGGTCATGCCCGGCCCTCAGGTGTCAGACCGGTCCACCCCAAACATTAGAGTCCAAATTCCAATGGATGAAGCGCAAGGGTCTCCTGTTTGTCTGGGTAAAAACCCCCTGCCTCCTTGTTCGGGCAGATGCCCATTGTCGACCGAGAAAAAGGGCTCCGAAAACTGCGACCTCAAGGAAACATGGGAAAAATTGGATCCTACTCTGTCCTGTCATCGGGGACTGCAACAGGTTGATTGTTGCTGAGGCCTACGCCTACGCCTGTGGAGCTCAGACAACTCGGCGGCGCATGAGAGCGCCGCTGGCACGCGGGCGCGCGGCAGCGCAGGCAGGGCCCGGGCGCGCCGCAGCGCCGGAAGGGCAGCACTGCAGAGCCCAGTAGGGCTTCAGAGAAGGGGATCTATGGAGTTCAGAGCCGAAGAGGCCAGGCAAGGAAAACATGAGAGGCCTCGAACCATTGGCCTCATGTTGCTGGCCCGGACGCAATTTTCCTGGCCCTTTGTTTGCAAAGTGCCATCGCGTGCTCTGCAAGCGCCAAGCCGCCGAGCTTGGAAAGCTGTTGCCGAGCTCACCGCTGGGGTCCGACATCTTCTACGATGCAGCGCGGCACTGCTTGTGGGATGTTTTAAAACATCTCACAAGCACCCCTGTATTCCACCCATAGGCCCAGACCATGTGACAATGTCACGGTTGCCACATGATATTGGTACCACAGTACCTTGTGCGCCCTACCACGCCGATAGTCTGTGGAAGAAGGCAAGTATGCCGAAGTATGCAACGCAAGAAGTTGGTGTTTTTCATTAGCCCTGAGTTACTGAGTTACTGTGACTGATTATGGCATCCACGACGGGGGTCGGAGTGTCGGATCCCAGGTTCGGGCGGTTTCCAGCCGGTGCAAGGCAACTGCAGAGAGCTGTCAGAGCTGTCGCCTGTCCCGGTCCGGAAATCTCCCACTCAGGCTCAACAGCCGCATAACAAAACTGAAAGAGATGATGCGCCATTGCGCAAGTCAAGTCAGCTTCGCGACTTTCTACGTGGTGGCACCCATCAGAGAGCTTAGCTCTGACACCGAAAAGCGCAGCACGAAGAAGAGAACACAAATGCACTCGTCGCCGCGCCACGGGGTGGCGCGTGCACCTCAGACCGATGTCGTCGTTAGGTCGTCTGGCGCCTGCACGGATCAGTTTATGAGAGGACACGAGCGGTGCCTTGGTCTAGCCTGATCTGCCGCGTTGAGTCGGGGGCGGGTCGGGTGCACCTTCAATCAAGCAGCTTTCCCACCTCCACTCCCTCCATTCGTTCCATGGCCGGCGCTTCCATGCGTGGTGGGGGAGGCAGGATCTGGCCGTCCTTCTCGCGGCGGTAGAAGACGGCATACTCGGGGTAGATGGAAGCCTCGTGGAAGAAGATGAACTCACGGAAGGTGCCGACTGCCTTCTCCCGGTCGCCGAGCACGTGCTCGAACTCGCCGCTCAAGACCCTGTCGCTGAAATCGCCGGCCTGCTCGGTGACATAGGACCGGCCGAGGAGCGCGCGGCACACCAGCACAGCGTAGAGGCCGTCGTACTCGCCGCCCACGTCGTCACGAGCGTACTCATCGGCTTTCGTGGAGCTCTCCGCCAGGTAGACGCCGGGCCCAAACATCGTGCCTCAAGGGGTGGGGGGGGGAAGCAGCAGGAAAATCGGCGGAAGACAGGAAGGCAGAAAAAGGAAGGCAGAAACGAAGGCAGAAAGGAAGGAAGGAAGGGGAGATTCGGAAGGATGTTGGGGTGACGGTGGAGGTCGGGAGCCGCCTGCGCTCTTGCCCGCAAGGTTGACCGTGAAGGAGGAATTCAAGATGGCCACGGCGGAGGTCGGGTTCGTGCCGTGCAGGAGATAGGCCTGGTTGGCCGGGTTCCCCACGGACACGTGCGTGCAGCGCTGCGCCAAGCCCGGGCAGGCGTCCGTCGTCTTGGGCGTGGTGAAGGATTCCAGGGCGCCCGGCGTCTTGCAGCTCTCGGAGACCACCCGGCGGCGCTCCGCGAAGCGGTCCCACAGGCCCGGGTGCTCGCTGCGGATGCACTGCACGGCCTTGTAGCGGTCCGCCAGGGGCTGGCCATCCTTGCGATCACGGGTGACCTTGTTCTTGAAGGTCTTGTCCAAGATCTCCTGCATCCATGCCAGCTCATCCGGCGAGCCAGGGACCAGCTTCTGGCCGAGAGTCCCCGCAACGCACGCCTCCTCCGTCCAGTAAGGCGGGGGCTCCAAGGGTGGCCTCCCCAAAGGCTCCACGTGGCCGGCAGCCATGAACACCGCACGCCCTCCGGGCCGGTGCCGGAACACCATCTGCATCTCGCGCGCGGTGACGCTGTTAAAGTACTTGCCGTCGCCACTGCCATGCTGAAACGAGGTGCTCAAATTGTCACTGTTGCAAACGATCAAGTCCCACTCGCCAAGATGATCGACCATGTAGTCACACAGTCGCATGGTCCATTGGCCGATGTTGCTCTCGCCATTCATGAACCCTCCCCATCGTCCATTCTCTTCAACCTCTGAACTATGAAGTTCGAAGCCTTCGAAGTGGTAAAGTTTGTCACAATGTGTCAGGTTCCCTCCAATGTCCTGTCCGCCCATGAACTCAGTGATGAAATCGTGCAGCTTGGCATACACTCCATTCGTGTCGGGCCCAACAATCTCCTTTCGCAACAACAGGCCCTTAGCCTCACATCCCTCGACCCCAGTGAAACAATGTGAAACAGACCAAAGCCAAAACCCAGAAGCCGAACTAACGTCGGAGTCCAAAACACTAGATTTCTTGTACGGTCAAGTGGAGTCTAGCCCAAGGTTCAATGATGCTGTGCCATTGTGGAGGCTCGTCATTGGCAGGCTGCGTCCGGAACTCGACAAGAAGTAATGGTGCAGCTGCCTTCTCCGGAGATTTCGTGAACTTCACCTGCGTAACCCCGACAAGTGCCCCACAAAATGCAGCCCATGTCTCCCGCCTGCTGCTCTCGAAGGATGTTGTTCGGGAAGTGGTGAGGATCAGGCGTCACGCTTCCGCCGTTGCAGAGCATCAAAGCCTGAGGCTTGGGAAGAGATCACCGTGAAAAGTTTTGGAAACATGTACAAACCCTCTGGGAGCTGCTCAAACTCGGCACTGTCCACTCGAGACTCCAAGGACTCTAAAGGCTGGAGTGCGTGACGAAGCACCCAGCCATGCTGTGCAAGGAAGCCGGCGAGCTCGAGAGTCCTGCGCAGCAATTGGCTGTAGTTGCCGTGTTGCTTGGCAACTGCATAGGATCTGAGCCCGCGAAGGTGGCCAAAACAATCGGCCGACGCCAACGGGTGTGCCCAATTGTCGTGCTCACTGCGTTGGTCTGTGCATCTGCTCGAGGGCAGGCACGAAAGGGACCTAGACACGGGAGGTGTGGAGCAGATGGCGGGTCATGGATGCTTCGTCACGTCGTCATTAACCTCCTTTTGCTTGTCCTCGCAGCAACTGCGCCAGAACGCGAACGTGAGAATATCCCACACTGCCTAGTGTCAGTTTGGTTGTTAGCAATCGCCAGCGGCAGCAACAGCAACAGCAACTGCAAGAGCAACTGCAACTGCAACTGCAACTGCAACTGCAACTGCAACTGCAGCAGATGCACAAAAAACGCCTCCCGACCAAAAGTTCGGCCTGCTTCAATGCCCTGCTGCGTGCACTCCCTTTGAAACGGGTCTTGCTCCTCTTTCCCAGGTTGTTGGTCAGGAGGTTAAGCTCGTAGAAGTTGTCGGGGCACCTTGCTCCCAAGAAACACAAAGGCTGAGTCAAACCGTTCAGGAATTTTGAATTGACATCCGGTTCATTTAAGAATGCTAAACATGCGAGCCACAAGAAGTTCTCCTGAAACCTCCTTTTTCTTATCTTCTTGCATGGTGCTCTCTTCTTCTTCTTCTTCCCGCAGGCGCGGGACCCCTGGCCCGCCCAGGTCCGAAAAACTCGTTTGTTGTCTCTGAGTCCGCCTCACCACGTTGTGACCCCAACTGCCACCGAACCCATCCTTTATCGGAGTTGTCGGCAATTCTATCGGCTCTCCTTTGCGGTCCGCAGAGGTAGCCGTCGTGAGACTGTCCTATATTCACTTGGTGCCCCCGCATTGTGCCCCTGCAGGCAGCGTGCCCAGGTGGAGTGGCGACTGATCCCCCGCGACACAAGTAGCACCAACAAACACCACAACTTGATTGTCGCTTCACTCACTGTGCACGGGGGGGCTCTCTTCTCGGGCTCTCTCTGCTTCTTCTCGGAGCCTAACCACCTTCTTCTTCTTCGCTGCTGCTGCAGCTGCTGCATCTGCATGTTCATCAGCCACCCCGCACTTGCCGTTGTGCAGCTGCGACACGTGTATTTCAAGTCGCAGAACTCTGTGCCGCCTTCCCAGAAGTACTTCGTGTACTCCTTGCAACCCCACCTTGGCAGAGCATGAGGCGTGTCGCCCGGGACATGGTGCAGAAGCCCCTCACTGAGTTGTTGGAGCAACTGGATTAGCGGGTCATGTTTATATTGTTTATCGACATGGTCAAAACTTCAAGGAGCCCGGGCCATGGAAAAGAGTAACATGAAAACTTCCAAGCTGACAATTCTGAGTCATTCCAGAAGCCCCTACAAGCTTTGAAAAGTGCCTAGAAGGCGTAGGCTCGACTCTCTTCCTGCACTGTGTTGAGACGAGTTTCAGCTTAGGATGTACCCAAAATGAAGGTGGCACAGTCTACAAGGCTATATCCTGCAGCTATGCATCTTGCAACCCACAGGGAGCCCCGAATCCAGCGAGTTGCAAAACCGAGTTTTTAAGGTCGTTCGCAGTTCCAAGATCCACAAGTTCGATCAGTTCCAAAAGCTTGGCTCTAACACCTCCAACGGAGGTTCCAAAAAGTTCACCAAAAAAGTCCCGATAATCTGATACCAGCAAAATCTGCGAGCACCCCTCAAACGAGGCGACAAGCTGGGCTAGATCAAACTTGGGCTATCAAGTCGGGCGTCTGCTCGACCATGAAGTTGATCAGGTGCTCCTCCAATTGAGTTGGCCCTAGGGGCCCATGAACCTCAGGCCTGGTCTAGAACGTCATGCGAAGAGAAAAAAAAGCTGCGGTCTTGCAGTAGTTCTCCAATCTTGCTGAGCCTTCGTGTCGCCGGCATCATGGAGACCGTTTATCTCGATGTAGCCAACCTGTCTCTCCACGTCCACTATGGGTCCATACACAGCGGCAGCCTTGAAATCCCGAATTCTTGTTGATCCTTTTACTTGAGACAGTCCTGTACCATGTGCAAGTGCAAGGAGTCCAAGAGCATTGTGTCATTGTGCTTGAGTGTGGGTTGAGTGCTCGGGCGGCTAAAGGGTCAGGTGCGGGCAAACATCGTCCCTGCCGTGCCCAGCCTCAATCCGCCTGAACGTGTGCAGCTACCAGGCCGAGAATAATGACAGAGATGGACGGCACACAGTGAATCAATGTAGTCTAGACCCAAACTTTGTATTTGCGGGCCCCTACCGTCCGCAGCTCCACCATGATGTGGTCCGCGCCATGCTGCACGAACTCCTGAAGCTCAGGTTAGTGTTGGGCTTTGAAGGTGCAATCCTAGCGCTTGAGCTTCTGCGCTCGGGTTTACAAAGCGTGCGGGATTGATTCAGGTCGACAAGCCACGTCGTTGCGGAAGATCAGCTGCTGCTCGCGCTTGTCGCCCTTGCGGCCAAAGTTGCCTGAGTGTAGGCGTGTAGGGGCGTGTAGGGGCGTAGGGGACAATTTGCCCTCTGGCAGGATATCTCTGTGTGGTCTTTGCATGAAATCGCATGCTGACTAGGGGGCCGCCGTTGCAGGTGACCATGGTCCACTGGCACTCCTCCGTGACTGCCGGCGTGCACAGCAAGCAAGGTCCCTCGACCATCGCAGCAATCAATCGCCCCCCAGATCACACGTGGGCAGGTCCTTCACCATGAAGTCCACTAGCTCCATCGTGCGCTGGCCCATGTTGTTCCTTTGTTTGCCCCCAACTCGGATGCACCCCCACCCCGACCTACAAGCCTGCCATGCCCTCTCCCCTGTCCCTAAACTCGGCCCCGGCGCTCTCCCTCACCACCACGCTTCTTGAAGGTGTCGGTCCTATACTTCAAGTCGCAGTAGTCAGGATCTGCCTGCAAGCTATGCCCCATCTCTGGGAGTGCTTTGAGATGCCTTTAACATCCATTAGCAAGTAGCCACGTGTGCGCTCCCGTGATCAAGATTGCAACTTGAGGGTTGAGAGTTCCGGCGGGTTGCTTGGCAAACAAAAGCTTAAGCCGAAGAGCCTTCACCTGCTTCGCTTGCCACTTGCTGGCAAAAAAGCTGCCCAGCTTGTCGAAGATTTCCTGTCCAAACCATGCCTAGTGAATGCACTCACAACTATTTTAGCCTGCTGCCGCCAAAGATGGGCAAATTGCCCTGCTGCTGCTGCTGCTTTTGTCGACCACTTGATACTATTGGCAAGTAGAACTTCCTTTTAAAACATAGGCCCTGTAAGACCATGTCGGATGCCCACCCTTCATCCCGAAAAGGAGACGCCGGCTGGAATCCAAAAAATTAGAACGGAAACATTAAGCGACAAATCCCTTGAAACGGCAATGCAGGCTGGGAAACCCGAAAACGGCGATGTTGGGGAACGCCTAAAGGACGTGTGACCGCGAACAAGGATGCAGGGATGCAAGGGATGCCAGGGCCCCCAACACGCGGGGAAGAGGGCATCCATTTATACTTTTCTGCGCCGCTCCCAAAGATGCACCGGAAGAGGGAAATTGAAGTGTTCGTATCGAGGGATCTGGCAAAGGCCTCGCAACAATAGGGGCTGAACAAAAGGGACCCCCAACGCCCAAGACGTTCCTGAGCCGACCTTGGACTTCGACGAAAGAGCTTGATTGTGAGAATTGTTTGGGTCCACCCCGTCTTTGACATTTTTGTTTCCATTTCTGTTGGCTCCCTTCACGATGCCATGGCGGAATTGATCTTCTCTCCCATGCTGACCATGTTCGACCTTCCTTGTCTCGTAAGTTGCATCACTTCAGAGCCGGCTTTGCAGGGGGTCAGCCTTCGTTTTTGCTCGTGCTGCCTCACGTTAAAATGGCTCCAATGTCGTGAGACCTCTTAACGAGGTCTACGCCACGGCAACGATACAAAAGCGGAGAACCAGCAAAAAAACGCGCATGCGTAGTCCAAACACTGAGGTGAGGAAAGCTTTGATCCGGAAATTAGCTGCTAATTAGCTCCCAGCCCTGGAACCGAGCCGAAACACCTCATGCCCAGGACCCAGCTTTGAGCCTGGGAGTTGCTCCCGTTGACCTCGATGTATCCGACCTCAATCCCGCACCAGCCCCTCATACCCTCCCTGCGGCTTTGGCTATGAAACAGGTTAAGCCAAGGGGGAGGACCACCTCTCTTCTCAGCCCATTTCTCGAAAACACAGACCTGCCGCAGCTCGATCATCACCAGCGGGGACACGAGGTTCAGTGGGTGAGGCGCCTTGCCAGGCTTTGCAATCGGCATATTTCCCGGTCTGCAGCTATAGCTATAACTACTAAAACTACTGTGGTTGTTGCGAGCTTGCGGGCATCTCGGCTGAGCCGTTCGTGTTCTTCGTGAGAGATCTGGTGTCCGATCACATCTGTTTTTTCACAGCTTGTTCAAAGCCTTGAGCCAAAGCCTGAAGCCAAAAACGCACCTTGAACTTCAGCTGCTGCTCTCGGATCTCGCCAGAATATCCCAGATTGCCGGCATCACAGACCTGTCAAGCTGCAAGCAAGGAATCTGATAAAAGGCCCTGAGGCCAATGCTCTTCTTCTGCTGGCATCTGCCGCCCCCCCCCCCCCCACCCTCCCTTCCTTCCTGCGCACGTAACCCTCCCTCCCCCCCTCCCTCCCCTCCCCTCCCTCTCCCTCCCTCCCCTCCCCCTCCCTCCCCTCCCTCCCCTCCCTCCCCTCCGGATTAGTCCTGCCTATAGCCTCTTAGGGGAGGGGGAAAGAGTCAAAGACTCACGGCCGCTGTCGAGAGCCCGGAATACATCAGTCACAGCTCATTTGGGTTGGGTGTCAAGGTTTTAGTTCACATGACCGGGGAAGCGAGCCAAGGGTCTCACGCGACAGCACGAGGGAAGCCTGGCCACCCTCGAAAACGAGCGGGGCAAACACAAGCGAGCAGCAATCAATGTATGGAAGAAGAAGAAGGGAGGGGGTCCAAAACCTTTGGCGATCCACTGCTTGTCTTGTCCCTGTACCGTTTCCCCTCGAACTCCCCATCCCTCCCAGAAACCTGCACCTGACCACTTTCCTGAACTCCCGATCCCTCCCCAGAAACCCGAGACAACCTCCCGAAGTCCCCCCCGAAATTCCCCGACTGGGACCCCCTTGCTTTCCCCTTGTCTCGGCACCTGTGGCTATCTACTGGAGCTTCGCTCATCTAGGTTTCCCCCTCTCCGCTCGCAGCACTCGACCTTTGCGGTGGCCACAGCTGCCTCTCAGGCATGCTTGCGGGCTCCAAGTTCGCCCTTGCTTCCCCCTCCACTGCTTCGTTTTGGCCCTCTTCTGGTTCTTGTCGCGGCTCCTGGCTCTCTTGGACCAAGACGGTGGTTGCCCCTAGTCCACTCGTCGAAGCTCCTGATCGCTTCCCGCACCACTGCTGCGAGCTCTTCGTCCAGGAATGGCAGGATGTCCACTAGTCAGCTGCGCGCCCGGCATAGCGGCATCCCTGCATCTCCGCCTACTTCTCGTTGCTCTTGTTCTTCTCCCCCTTCGGCCAGTTGGAGGACATCCGCCGGATTCCCTCCCTCCCTTCCTCCCTCCCTCCCTCGCTCCTCTCTCTCTCTCTCTCTCACACTCACAGACTCGACACGTCCGAAAAAGATTGTACGAAGCGGGTTTGGGGGGGGGGCCGGCCCCCTAAGAGTAGCCCAATCGCCTGACACCCCCGCCGAAACCTCCCCAAATCCGAGACCCTGAACAGCCATGATAAGCGCCGAGTGCTGGCCTGCAGGGTCCAACCGCACTCGTTGGTCATGAATTGGGCCTGGGCAGAAGGCAAAGTCAAGGACACAGGGTTGGGCGCAGTTCTCACGGAAGCAAAACCCTTTTGCAACGCGACCAAAACCTAAACCCCGAACTCCAACAACCCTAATCCCCCACCTCCTGGCTTTGAAGGATGAGGGTGTGGGGCTGACGGCTGCAGGAGCCTCGTACGTACCGTGCAAGTTTCTGTTTCACTGCGGCAAGGAGCTAATTTCATGGTCAGCTTGCCCATGTTGTTCTCCCCCTCATCTCCACGCGCCTCACCAACGCAGGCTTGCAAAGACTCTTGGGAGACTTCCCAGCAGGACCCATGCGACCCAGGAGCCAGAAAGGGAACCGTGAAGGGAGACGCGGCGACCACTTCGTCCCCCCTCCCCGTCCGGCAACCGAGGAAAGGACCCCAAACCGTTCCACGGCTTTTGACGGCGGTCCAGACTGCGCAAATAATTACTGCCGCTTGGCATGCAAGATCATGCAGGCAAAGCATGGCAAAGCAGGTATAGTCAAGGGTTTCGGGGTCAAGACACGGTGCGAACCGCATCTGACCTGGAATCGAACACTGATCCCCAAGGAGCCTTGTAGGTGTTGTTGCCAGACGGCACGCCATTCTCCCTTGGATCCCGAGCCAATCACTTGGTCACAAGTTACTCTTCAACGCATGGACACTCGGAAACAGCAGGATCCCGCCTGGCCAAGTGATATGCAATGTGTGAGGGTGATGGCCTAGCAGCCTTGGAGTTTTGCAGGGTACCAGTTCAACACCTTGTGTAACTTGAACAAAGGGGCCTCATGGACTTGGGGCAAGGGATCAGCGGACCTGCCGCGAAAGTCCACTACAACACTACAACACATCGCCAGCGTCGGGCCCAAGTCGAGGGCTCAGGGCTTTGCTCTCGCGACGAATTGGGCGTTGATGGTTTTGGGGCATTGGTGGCAGATGTGGCAGTCTAAGGCTCTTCGGCTCTCCAAGCTGCCAGGCGCGGTCGCAGAGTTTCTGGTGATCCTGAAGGGCCATCTGATACGGACTCCGCCATGCACTTCACGTCTTCAAAGCCCGATGACTTGCAAAGCTCACCCTTGTGACTTCCCAACCCTGGCCAAAACACCCAGCCAATCACAGCTCGATCGTCTGGCGCCTGGAGTTTGTCCACCCCATAGGTGACGTAGTAGCCGCAGCAGAAGCACGACCTCATCTGAAACCCGGACTAAGGAAGGCCAACCCCACACCTGAAACCCTACACCGTCCACACCGTGAACGGCACTGTGTTTAGATTTCTCTGCGATGTCGGATTTGGGTATCGGAGCCGGGAAGCTTACAGTGCCGAGGCCTCGAGTCACCAGGAAAGATGCTACCGACAGCTTGTGGCTTGTGGTGCTGCAGGCCACAGGGCGAAGATGGAACTGTCCAAAGTTGTAAAAAGCATACAAAAGGGTAAGACCGAGATCGGTTGGGAAGCATGCTTTCGATCACGAGACGACGCAGCAAGCACGCGAATAAATAGATGTGTCGTGCACCTTGAGCTACATGCCGTCCTCGTTACATGCCGTCCTTGTGGCCCGAGCCTAGAAGGTTCTAGAGAAACTCGACAGAACAGGTTCTAACTCGTGCAAGTTATTGCCACGAGTCGATGCAATACCGCTCGGTGCCTCCTCCACTCTCTCCATGTCGAGCGGCTGTTCGTCGCTGGCTTTCCTGACCAGGCCCATTACCTGCACTGGGCAGATGTTCACGCCTCGCCTGGGGCTTCGGATTGCGGGGTCGATGGCTGAAAATGGCTGAAACATGTTGAAACGGGTTGGACTATGTTGAACGTGTACCTCAACCTCATACTTCAACCCAACTTCAACCCAGCTTCCTCACCATCCCCGGTCCTTGTCAGTAGCGCGCCAATTCTTTTTCAACCAGTTGCTGAGCTTGTCGTAGATGCCGCCCGTATTCTTCCCTTGTATCCTCAGCCGCCAGCCAGTACCAGATACATGATAGATGATACAAGCTACATGATACAGAAAGAAGGAAAGAGAGGGACGGAGAGAGAGAGAGAGAGGAAAAAAAAAACAGAGAGAGAGGGAAAACTTGAGCGCAAGGCCGGGGAACCATGAAGCGACACTTTACTTTTGCTGGGGTGTTGAAGTGGGGGGGGGGTTGCGTGGAGCGATGGAAGGGTGGCCCGGGGGGTTGCTAAGCCCACGTCACAACAGCGAAAGTACCCAAACAACCCAAAGGCCTAAACAGTCCCCCTTCGGATGTCTCACTTTCGCGATTTGAACCTTGTTGTGCTGCCACTGGCTCCAGCCGAGGGGGTTCCCGACTTGAGCCTGCAGATGCTCTGTCCCTCTCTCTCCTCTTCCTCCTCCTCCTCCTCCTCCTCCTCCTCCTCCGCCTCCTCCTCCTCCTTCTTCGGGGCTTGGGGAGTCGGTGGCGGCCCCTCGCGCTTGGCACACGATAAATTTTGTGCGTTCGACAGGTCCAGACATGTAGTCTGCGCTGGGCTGGTCGATGCGGGCCTTTGCGTGGGAGCACCTGCATCCTGACTGACATGGGGATGGGGTTGGGGAAAAGGCGGGGCGAGAAGCCTTAACTTTGCCCCGATGCAATTGGAATTGAGTTTTTATAAAACCGAGCTTCCAATCTGATGCCAGTCGATCGTTAAATCCGATTAGATCCCCGGGGAAAGTTCAGAGCCTAGGGCCGAGGGGTTGGGGCGGTTGAGGAGCCAAGCATGCTGAGGCGGCAGCTCGACGAAGCCCAACGATCTCAGCTCGATCAGCAGGTGAGGTACACGAGTTTGCTGGTCCAGCAACTTCCTCAGTGGTAAGGCTTCCACTCAACAAACCACTTGGAATTGGCGGGGCCTTGTGGTTTAGGGTGCAGGCGGTCTACGGGGCGTGTGAAGGCGGAAAGTTGTTGCACGTAAACACAGAAACACAGAGAGCACAAACACAGAGTAAAGCACGGCATGCATGCGCGCACGCCACTCCGCCCCCATCATCATCCTGCTTCGAGGGTGAGCATCATTGACACCTCGTGGCCACGGCTGTGGGTGATGCTCATCTTCCGCGTTACTCTGCGCTATGATCTCGTCGGTTTTTCAGGAGACGAGCATCGTCCGCACCCGGGGGCCCGCGAGGGGACGACCCTCGCCCTCAACGCATGGATGAGCGTCATGGACCTGCCGCTGCTCGACAGGCCTCCTTCGTCCCAGGAATCCGCGATCGCAAGCTGCATGTTTACGTTTGCAGACTAGGACTGAAGTGATGTCATGAGAAAAGAGAAGCAGTGGCAAGAAAACTGCAGTCATTGTGACAGAAACTGTCAACAATATCGTGCGAATATAACACGGCAAGAAAAGGATGTAGAAGGTCATAAATAACATGGCAGCCAAGAAAGAACCGTCATCGTGATAGCCTGTGGTAGAAAAGTACAAGCACGAGAGGTGTCAAAGCGATGCAGCGCTTTCTCCTGAGCTCTTGAACTCAACGTGCCATTGCCACAGGAGCCTGGCACTAGGCTCAGCAATCCCAACCTGCAACCTGGCTTAGGCCACGTGACAACTTCTCCATTCGCGTCTCATAGGCCTGTAGCGAGCGCAGTCGCGAAGATCGGATGCCCAGGGCTGAGGGATTCAGGCTCTGCGTGGCACGCTTCGATCCTGACTTCCCAGTCTAAATCTCGTCCCAACTCCCAAACAGGCCTCGAAATACCCAAAACTTCCGCCCAACATCCGCCCAATGTGTCCTGTTTCTTGGTCTCTTCATTTTCGGCGACGGCGGCCTCGACTTCCTGTCTCCACAGACTTGCTGGAAGAAGACGGTGTGCGTTTTTTTTCTGGCATTCTGGGGGGGGGGGGGGGGGGGTGTGTCATGGTCTAAAGCCCTAACGAAGCCCTGAACCCGCTGCACCCTGGCCTCCTTTGTTGGACAGGACATGCCGAGCCTCACCAGGATGCTGGGCCCCATTGACTTTGAGAAACTTTGGGGGGTTTTTTGGGGGAATTTTCCTGGGGGGTTTTGGCGGCCTTTCTCAAAAACAGCCCACTCAGCAGGGGGGGGGGGGGGCATCTCTGCTCTCTGCTCTTCAGCTGATTCTCTCACCCCAAAGCCCAAGCTACACCCGAAAACCTTTACCTTTACAAACACTTGTGGCAACGACCGAGGCATCGGCAGGGCCACTGGTTCTTGTTGTCCAGCTCACAAACGTGTTCAAAGCCGGGTGGGGGTCTAAAGAGGCAGCACTTGGGGGGGGGGGGGGGGGGGGGGCTTGGCACGTATTTGGGGGCCCGGGGCGAACGCAAACAGCTGCGGCAATCTTGGTTTCCAACATATCGACGCACTGAACAGCAAACGGCCCCAGCGATACACCTCCGGACCTGAAGTTCCCTGCACCTCAACCCAGCCCACAATGTCACAACGCTTGCGAGCCGCGTCGCAACTTGGAAAATCCTCCTCCAGTTTTTTCGGCTTAAACATTCGAGTTCAGGGGTGAAGTTGCAATGAAAGCGCTGAAGACTCTCATGGCCGACCAAAAGCAGCTAGCGGGAAGGCCAAGGTGCCGGAAGACTAGCGATGCTCCGTACATCCTGAGAACCTTTACACGCAAGAATTTGACAATGCGATGATCCTCATATATAGTTCTCTTCATTTCCCTCCCCCGGCCCCTCCCCTTCCCCAAGTAGAACACTACTTGTAGTCAACAACGAGCGAAGCCTAGCAAAACCATCCACCGCAGGAAAAAGATTTTCTCGCGCAAGTCTGAGTCGACATGGCTCAGTCGCCCTTCGCCTGAGTTGGCTCTTCGTCAGACTACAAACAAACTATCCACCTTCAAGCGCTGCTGCGGAGTGCATTTTTGGTGGGTTCGATGACGGGAGCTGTGGTGCTCAAGTCTTGTACAAAGCCCAACTCAGAACCTCGACCAGAAAGCCCTTAAAAGCCCTTGAGAGGTTTTGAGAGCCTTTAGAATGGGGAAAGGCCAGGAGCAGCACCTTTGTCGCTCTGCGCCATCGTTTCCAAAGCTGCGCCTGACGAGAAGCATTTGCGATGCCCGTCGGCTCCTTTCAAAAGAGCAGAGACCCAGAGACCATCAGAGACCCAAACACCCAAAGGCTCCACGCCCAGAGAGGGAAACTCCGAGAACCCCTGAACCGGAGAGTTCTCCATTTAGCGCGTTTTCGAAATTTACAGTTCCGGCCCACCCACCCACCCACCCCCCCCCCCCCCCCCCCCCCCCCCCCCTCACCCACCCCCCCCCCCTACGCACATCCCCGCAATTTCATTTCAACATACTTCGAACTCACTAAAAGGACTTGAAATTCAATGAAAAATAGGCCCAACTAGTTCAAGATCATTAAAAGCAATTAAAATATCAATTACAACGATAAAAGATACAAACAAAAGAATTGTCGTTGCTTTGCAATTGTTTTTTTCACCATTTTCAATCAAGAATATTGACAAAGTGACTGAATAGTGAAATCACTGGGTGAGAGGCGGGGGGTGGGTGAGGGGGGGGGGGGTGGGTGATGTGGGGGGGGGGTGGCACCCACCCCCCCCTTGAATGGAACCCCCCCCCCCCCCCAAATTGGTGGAGAACTATCCTGGACCGCAATTAGGGAGATCCATGGAGATCCCAAACCCCAAAGGCTAAGGCCCCCCCTCCCCCCCCCCGCGCCAAAAAAAATGAAAAATGAGGCCGCGGCCGGCAGCCGCACGAGAAGCCAAGCAGCCAGAGCCCTGTCTCAAGGTCCGGAAAGCTTGGGAGAAGCTTGGGAGAAGCTTGGGAGAAGCTTGGGAGAAGCTTGGGAGCTCCCGTGAAACCACATGTAAGCCTTGGGCGTCAACCAGACGGCAAGGCTCAAGCCTTCCACATGCAGAACCCCCTACAACTCCATATGTAAGGCAAGGCGACAGCAGGAAACCCCAAAAAGTCTCCCAAAAGGCCTTAAACCCTGCAACCTCGTGGCCCATCTGAGTCCCCGTGCCCGAGTAGGGAGGCGCCCCAATAGCACAGCAGGTGCGAAGCCAAAGGCTGCTGCGGCAGCGTCTGACCCAACAGGGACAGAACAGGGACAGGGGCCCTACAGGGGCATTGGACTACGCGCAAGCCAATCGAGAAACCAAGAACTCGGCGATGGATGCATGCAAAATGTATTCCGTGCAGGACTTTGCAACTCTTGAATCGAACTTCTCCCGCGCGAAGCTATTGAACGACGCTCAAGTCAAGATGCAAATGATTTGTTTGTGTCAACTTCTCGTGACCAAGATAGCCCCCAAGTCGCCAGAAAGCCTGAGGAATTACCAGGAACCCCTGCATGGGGGCTTGGCTCGGTGTATTGGAAGCAGCGCAAAAAAAGCGAAGTCTGCCAGGCCGTGTAGCTGTCAACCCCCTCAAACGTCCCCACGGAACACACGTCAAACGCAACGAGGGCCTTGCGCCGCGACAGTGCGTAGGCGGTCCAGCCGGATGCCATCATCGGGCTCATGGACTCAGTGAATCCAATCCAAGTACCCTTTGGAGTGTGAAAGGCCTGCATTGAAGAAGAACCTGCCTCACCTGTCCAAAACCCCAGCTTCAGCCATTCAACAACCATCGTGCTACAGTTCAATAAGTTCCAACCCGATCCTCCAATGCCCACCCGCTAGACAAGCCCAACTTCGTAAGGGACACGCCGCACCACCCTGCAGACACAGGCTTCTGTCTTTGTCATGTTCATGCATGGTCTACAGGAGCCTTCCACACTCAGTTCAGTAGAGCTTTCTGTCACTTCTGTCACTCTATCGCGCAGGTCTTGCGCACAGGAAGCTCTGTGCTAGGTGGATGGTGTTAAGTGGCTCGAATTCTCCCTCGTCAGGTCTGAACAAGCTCAAAAAGCTCAAGATCCCAAATCCCTTGGCGAACCCGATTGAGATTCCCGATGATGGAGCCGATCGTCTCCTAAGCTCTTATGGCACCCACATGGCCGTCATGGCGAAGGGGGCTTGGGGACTTTACATGCTTTTCGACTTGAGGTTTCTCGGACGTCTGTTGGTTCTGAGAGCTACACTTGTCATACTGATGAGTGTAACACAATGCAAACTAGTACGGTCCAGGGTTTCGGGGCCTGAGCTAGCTCAGGCATACTGCGTACCTGGCTCTTGACCTACAGGGGGACGAAGTCACATGCTTGGGGCTCCAGAGTTCAACTCCATCAGGCTTGCCTCCCTACGACTAGGGTCGTGGCGGCGATGACCAGCTCTTGCAACAGCCAGAACTGGCTCGGAATCAGCTCTTGACTCATGAAACCCCACGACCCTGTACTCCGCCTTCCCACCCCTTCGGTCCAGCACTCTCTGTGGCTCTGGGGCTCGACCACTAATCCGAATTCGAAGCCTGCTGTCAGGCTGTCTTCCCCAAGTTGTGCCGGCATCGCACGGCTGCTGAGCAGCTGTGTCACTGCGAAGATGGCAGCCAAAAGGCAAAACGTTGCTGCAGCCTCATTGGAGCTCAGTCTCTTGGTGGGTCATTGGATGAGGCCGGTGCTTACAGCATAGTGGACTCCGCCTCATCAATGCACATCTCCTTCAGGTGGGCGCCCTCCTGCGGAGTAGGGCCTGACCTGCACATGAGCATCGTGAGGGAAACGCGCCGGGAGCCCCCGGACAGCTGCCCTGAGCGCCCCGCAGCAAGGGGAGCTCCAGTGCGGCGCTGAGCCTGCAGATTCCCCTAAACCCCGAGCGGCCACTCCATGCCACTCCTCCCCCCCCGCCGTTTCTTTTGACTCAACTACGGCGCCAGAACGTCTCATCTAACCAACTCCGAGTCTGACAGTCTGACAGGCCCAACGTGTCCATACCGACATACCCAAAGTCAGAAAAACACGGAGGACGCATCCGGACGCATCCGAAGGGCCTCTCCAACAACAAGTGGCCCACCTCCGTGCAAGGCGCCCACGAAATCCACAGACGTGCATCTGCAATCTGGGGTACTGGAATCTTTCGAAGCTGGCAAAGATTTCTGCAATGATAAAGGTATCTTCTCCCAATCTCTGCTACGCACATCCAGGCAGAGTCGAGGCATGTCCGGCTTCTCGGGCTTTGGGGGGTTCCCTCCCCTCCGGGGGCTCTGGCCGCAGTGGCCAGCAACTGCGAGGCCATCCGGCTCAAGCACCGGGCGTAGGGCAGTCCTTCCCAAAGCTGCTGGGGGCTTCAGCTCAAACCTCCCTAGAGTCTGACCTGCTTGAGGGTGGGCCCTTCGCCCTAACTACGCTTTGTTTCAGGAGTGGGCGGCCCTGGACCACCTGAACACCCCTGAACACCCCTGAACACCCCTGAACACCCCTGTCATGGCTCGATGCAACACGTGACAAGTGAGTTGACCTGGGATCTCCTTGCGGGAGCACCTCTACCTGCCTGCTGGCATGCGTAGGACAATCAGGACACCCAAGCCCTACTGAAAGTTTCTGAAACCCATGGGCCACGTCCTTCGAAAAACAGATTCAGCAGCGAGGCGCTGGGGCTCATGTCAGCCCCTGCAGAGGGCTCCCGAGAGTTGCTCGTTGCTCCCCCCCAACCTTCCTCTCGGTTCGTCCATGGAGGCTTCATTGGCTTGCGAAGAACCCCTGCATTACATCTCTGCGCAATCGGCCAGGCAGTGCGACCAGTACGCTTCTTGCTACGTGTGAACCCTGAGGCAGGAACCCTGAACATTGGCCCGGGAAGCCCTCCGTGATTCTGGACTTGAGGTTTGGCTAGGGGATGTTAGCGGGTCAGGTGCACATGGTGCACGGAAACACAACCGCTTTTGCCGGCCCGCCTCGGGCGCACAAGTCCGTGCAAATCACAGCAGGGACGCGGGCAATTCGGGCCTTGGAGCTTGGTCGATGGCAGCCTACTCAGGCTCTGCCAGGATAGTTAAGTACACTAATGTACACTACTTACAAGGCAACATCAGGAAGAGAAATCACTACTGAAAGATTTCTGCGAGCAGTCCCTGACATTCCCCCACCCTCCTGCCAGCTTGAAGCTTCCCAACCCCCGGAAGCGAGACCAGAGCCGCCCACCACGATGGGCTCAGTGGCGTACCACCTCAAATCCCACAGGTACAGGACTGGGGGCCTGCGTGCGAGTTGTAATTGTAATTGTAGTAACCAGCCCCTTCCTCTCTTATCCCATCTGCGAAGGCGACTAGCAGGGATGACTGGCCGCATTCTTAAACAAGCAAAGGCAGAGAGTCCAATTTTCTGCATTGGCACCTGCGATTCGCTTTGCTGCACCCGATGGCATGTTAGAAGGATCAGCAAGGGTGTGTGTGGGTGTGTGGGTGTGGGTGTGTGGGTGTGTGGGTGTGTGGGTGTGTGGGTGTGTGTTGAAGCTTGAGGGCCTGATGGGCCAAGCGGACGACTGATACGCATGGCAAGTTTGTGTGGGGCGCTTGTGAGTCACTATCAAAAGTTCAATGCAGTTGCACTAGGATCACTGGGATCACCAGGATGGCTTTCTGCGCCATGCCTTGCCCTTTTTGCGAAGCTGTGGAGGAGCTCTACAGACTTGGTGTCCACCTTGCTTGCGACTCCCGCCGGGTCGCTCCGCGGCTGACACAACACTACATGTTCAAATGGTTGGACGGTTAGGATGGTTAGGATGTCTAGGAGTATCAACATGAATGGAAAACAACCTAATCTGAAGCAAAGATCACTGACCTATGCGCAGCATCTCGGTTCGGCCACTACAGCAGCCATCCGACATCACCTCAGCGACAAAAGAAATTTAGAGCTCTGGTCTCCATCTCACAAGCTTGGAACTCTCTGCTCTTGCGCAAGGGGTCCTAGGCTCAGGGCGTAAGGGAATGCCGGGTGTTGTGCCATATTCTCCGAGAAAGAGATGCGAATGTCTCGAACTGCACATAAGGAGTCTTCCAGAACAACACGCGCAAGTGGCATCGACTGCTGGACAAGTCGACTGACGCTTTGCCGACCACCACGTTCCGAATGCGCACATGGACTGCATAGCTCGGTACGCACACTCTGACATCTTCGGCAAACGTCATGCATTGAACACCGCGTCGTGCTCTGACACGTGCCACAATTGAAGCAGCAGCCAGGGTGAACCAATGCACAGCGTTGGTTGCAGGATTCTGCCATTGCAAGCAGCTGCATTTTCTTGCTCCGAACACGCACGTGGGCGCGCGCGCACACACACACACACATTCACTCTCTCACTTCTGCAATATGTCAATAACCTTTGCATTCATCAAGATGTTTCTCCCTTAATGTTCCTCCTACAATGCCGGCGCTATAGTACCCCTCTGACAAGAGCATCTGCAAGCGGCATTTGTCCTCTGTTGTCGCAAATTCTCTGTGGGATGCCTAGGCAAGTCATTAACAGCCACTTTTTTTGCGGCCAATGCTCACTACTCACTCGTGGAAGGTAGATAATCGAGATGATAGTTTGCGGGGCAGGCTGCGCGAACTGCTGGTGGCCGTGTCATGAACCATGAGTTACACGACTTCAACGACTTCAGTCTGAAGGAATGCGTTTTCATCCGGCACTTCATATCCTGTTGGCAGGCGGCGTGGACACGCCAAGAGCTGCACCTGGGAATGTTCTCGCGTCTTCGCAGGGGGGGGCTTTCTCTCGAGGGCTGGGGGCTAGCTGCCTGGTCATCAACGTTTGCCAAACGAGCGTGCCCCACTATCCCAAATGAACAATGGCCACACTTTTGCTCAAACACTCAGCTACTTACAGCTACTCTCCGGCCCTGCCTGGATCATCCGGCCGGGTCGTGGTCCCTGTGCTCTCGCCGAAGTCGCCCGTTGTGGCCGTCCCTGGAGCGGATGTCGTTTCTTTGGCTCCTTCAAGGGCTGGTGAGCTGCTCGGCCCATCGCCTGGGCCATCTGCATCTTTGTTTGTTGAGGAATCTGCCTTGCCAGTTGTCTGCTCTAACTCTGACGTGGAACTGGAAGCATCTCCTTGGCCGGCTCCCTGATCGTCCCATGACGTTGTCACCAGAACCCCTCCCGCACTCGAGGTGGACGGTCCGGGCTGGATCTGGGCCGCTGTAGTAGACAACACGTCTCCGTCTCCTGCTTCAACAGAAAGCTGCTGGCCGGTCGTCTCTTCAGCTGCTGTGGACAGCTTGTACCCTGCCTCAAGAGGCTCAAGAGGGTTCTGCTGGCCAGTCGTTTGGTCCGGTGCTGCCGTGGAGAGCTCGTCTGGCGCCTCAGTCGCTTCCTGGAAGCTAGTCGTCTGCTCTACTGAGCTCACTGTCGTGGACAGCACGGCTCCTTCCTCGCTCGCAACCTCTGCGCCTTTTGATGTCGTAGGTGGATTAGGCGGCTCGCCCTTGGCCTCAGCCAAGGCCTGCCGGCTTGTCGTGTGCTGGTCTGCTGCTGCGGTGAATGGGTCGTCAAGAGGGGCCTGACTGGTCACATTCTGGTCCAATTCTGTTGTGGATGCCTCGCGTCCTGTGGCACCTGCTCCCGGAAGACCAGCTGCCGGTGCAGTTGTCTCTGGCTCCAAATTTGGACTGCTTGAGGTATCCGGAAATGTTCCAGTGGTTGGCTGGTCGCCTGCTGTGGTCGACGTTTCCTCACCTGGGCCGTGCGGAGTGCCTCCCTGCTGGCCAGCCACTGGCTCATTTCCGACTGTTGTCGATGCTTCGTCGCCTGAGCCGTCTTCAGCCACAGGCTCATTGCCCGCTGTCGTCGATGCTTCGTCGCCTGAGCCGTCTTCTGCATTCCCGTTTTGCTGACCAGCCACTGGCTCATTGCCTACTGTTGTCGATGCTTCGTCGCCTGAGCCGCCGTCTGCATCTCCGTTTTGCTGACCAGCCACAGGCTCATTGCCCGCTGTCGTCGATGCTTCGTCGCCTGAGCCGTCTTCTGCATTCCCGTTTTGCTGACCAGCCACTGGCTCACTGCCTACTGTTGTCGATGCTTCGTCGCCTGAGCCGTCTTCTGCAGCAGCCACGGGCTCATTGCCTGCTGTTGTCGATGCTTCGTCGCCTGAGCCGTCGTCTGCATCTCCGTTTTGCTGACCAGCCACTGGCTCATCGCCTGCTGTTGTCGATGCTTCGTCTCCCGGGCCGTCTGCTGAATCGTCGTCCCCCTGCTTCTGACCATCTGGTCCGTTCGATGCATCACCACCCCCGTCCGCTGCATCACCATCCCCGTCCGATGCGTCATGTCCGTCCGATGCATCACTGTGTGTGCTAGTGCCTGCAGGGTGATCAGCTTGGCCAGCAGGTGCATCTCCATTGCCGTTCAAGCCCGTGCCTACTTGCGCAGGGCCCAGCGTAGTCACTGTCTTTCCTGCATCGATCTTCGGCCCCGCGGATGATGGACCGCGCAGAGAAGGTGGCAGGCTGTCCACCAGTGCAAGGTTTTCGGTCGTCCTGATGGGAGGGCGCGAAGTCTCCGCTGGACGCACGTACTCGGCGCTGCCAGGGAACATGGTCACCTGAGGATGTTCTAACTGGAGGAGGCTTGCAGATTTGAAACAGCCTACTACATATCTACACGCTCAAAGGACACTGCAATGCCATGACCCAGACCTTGATGAGAACCATGCCCACCACAAGGACACAAACGACTGCCGCGGACATGGTCCGACAGTCCGCCTTGATCCCAAAAGGCAAGAGCTCATCTTCAATGTCCCTGCCAGGTGTTGGGCGATTTCGGGGCCACCTCCCCCTCAGCAAATCCGTCTCCTCATCTTCGTCCTCGTACTTTCCGAAGTGCTGAGGCTTGGGGGCCATGCCTTCATGACCGCTTCACTTGCGCCATCCTGGGGCCTCCCCCAGCTAAATGTTCTCTTGATCCGGCAGAAAGGCTTCGCATCACGGGAGCGACATGTCTGAATCAAAAAACAGGCTGACTTGGCTCCACTTTATGTGCTAGAGTTATGTGCTCATTGAAACGCCCCGAAGTGCTTCGGCTCAGCTCCGGACCGGAACCGTGGGACCGTGGGAAGGCGCGTCTACATCCTCCCTCTTGGAGGAACACCGAGAGAGGCTTCAAAAAAAGGTGCTCTGAAATGGCTTCGGAACTGCTTTGAAGATGCTGCAAGATTTCAATGCTGAACTTCAGAAGGGTTTTGGACGGGCCTGGGAGCCCCCACCTCCCAATAGGCAGCTGCGTGAGGTGAAGCATCACCACACCCAGAACCTCCTCAAGGGACAAAGGCGGAGCGCTTTCTCTCGAGGGCTCTGTGACCTTGCGGCTGGCTTTGCGTCTGGCTTGGCATCTGCCTTTTGCGTGGTTTCCACTCCGGTCCTTCAGCACGTCATCGCGCCAGTGGCCCAAAGGAATCAGCACACAGCAAGCCTTACAGGAGCAAGAGAGAGAGAGAGAGAGAGAGAAAAAAAAATAAAATAAAATAAAAATAATGGAGGGAGATGCTCTTGCTGCACACAGAAACCGTGACCATACCCTCTCCAGGTGGAATTCGTTCGAACCATAAAACTACGTCTCATGGACCGGCGACAGAAAGAAGGGGAAACGGCGTATTCCAGCAGAACCGGAACCTCTTTGGAAGCAGTTGTGTACGGTATCCCTGGCATCTCTTGAGTCGAACATCCAAGACATGAGGTTGCCCCAACAGCCCAGCCTCCTTATACCAAAACCATCTGCACCCGAACTCAAAGAGGAACCCCTCGTGCAAACCAGTGCGAATATAAAGGCCATCAACCCTAGATTGTGCAGTTGGATCGCGACGCCTGGATTTCCCTAGCATTCTGTTCCCTGTTGAAACCCCACTATACCCCAGATGGTCCCGCACCAAAAGCAGGAGGCAAAGCGGATCGGCCGTGAGCTCCTCTGCACGCTGAAAGACCCGAAGAGTTGGCTGGAAGCTGCAGCTAGCCCCGAAGTTCCCCAAAGAATTTACTCAGCTGACATCCAATCCGCCGAAGGCGCTTTCTCCACCTCCTGCTGCCCCGATCCCTGCGCTCCTCCAAGGCAGCCTCCGCAGCACCTGGAACCCGCGAAAGAGAAAATCATGATCATTAATCATTAATCATTAATCATTAAAACGAATCACAGACAGGGGACAAAAGGAAGCAACAAGAAGACCTCTACGAGTTTTGTTGTTAGAGGGTTTCGGCATCAAGGGCCTCTCGAGTCAAACACAGAGAAGCCCGAAAGCTTGCACGCCATAAAACGACAAGAATCCCGTGCTTCCGCACATCCGGCCTGGAACGTCGGCCAGGTGCATCGCCAAAAGCTGCGTTACGGACATTTTTCGGATCTCACCGTTCCTCTTTGAGGGGAGAAGTCTTCTTGTTGCCACCCGCCTCGCTGCCCTGTCAGTTCATGACTCCCAGGCTGTTCACGAGTACGGGCCCCTCGGTCCGCTTTCGGTCAAATAGGGGCTTCTCTTGGCTTTCTTGGCGCTTGCACAGACTTTTGTAGATTGGCCACACATGCTTGGCGACCTGACCGTGCAAGGCTGCCAGCTTCAGCCGAAACGGCAAGGACAAACGAGTTTGGCCATCCAACTAATACAGCATGTCGCAGCCATGCAGCCCTGTTCGTGACGAACCAAGGCAGCGGCACCATTATGGAAGGTAGTATGCTACTTCGTCATGAAGCATGCCTCGCTTCTTTCTTGGGCGCTTCACGCTGTCGAGAAGTATTGTTGAAGGGTGCTCGCGTTCAGACCTGCAAGTCCGGGGTCGGATCTAAGGTGTCATCACAACACGGAGTAACTGAACATGAGGTCTACCAACAAAGCCTACCCTCGTAGTGGAAGCGAGGGCCATGGGATGAGGGTTCGTTTGCGCAGCCCACTTCCTTAAACGGTGCTGACATTCTGTCCCTTCGTTGAATGAGACACGTGCCCTGCCTTCGCACAAGCCTTCACATGCGAAGAAGCTGCGCGACCTGCATTGCGCAGCTTCAAGGCGACAGAAACTCGTCGACTGAAAAGTGTTCCACACCCCATTTCAGGCCCAAGCTCCGCATCTCCAAAACCAAAATCCAAATTCTGAAGTAGACTTCCAACATCCCCACACTACAGCTAGCAGCCGTGGAAGCCATCCTACCTTCTTCGGACGGGCAACTCTCCGTAGAATTCTCTGGGGGCGGCCACTCCAAGGGATACTCGGCTGGCTTGAGGGAGGGCTCTCCCTACAGATACCCGGAGTCTCTGCAGGCTTCTCTGAGCGAAACGCTGAACAAAAGAAGTAGCGACCAGGACGAGGAGTGCAAAACATCAAGCAGCCAAAAAAAACACAAATAACAATAGCAGCAAATACAGTCATACTACTAACGATAGTACTAACGATAACAACAATAACAATAATGTAATAAACCTTCAAGGGCCCCCTGCCCGATGGCAGCTCCGCCGAGCCAGGCTTCCACACGCCACTTGCCGGCCGCTGGCGAGTCGGCCAGGTCCCTCAGTGAAAGAAACTGAAAGAGAGTGCTTTTAGGGGGGGGGGGGGGGACCTTCAAGGCTTGGGCGGCTTTGGGATCCCTCAAACGACCTAGAGGGCCTGCAAAATATCGCACACCTCCAATTCTGCTTTACCACCAGCGCGAAGCCCTCTGAGGCCCCCCTTGAGTGGGCCGCTGCGGGAGCCGGGACCACGAAAGCAGCTGGGGCCTGCACTCGAGACGCATCACCCTCTGGCACCAAGGCAGTCTCGTGAACTGGTACAAGTACAGGATAGTACGGGTAAGCGCTGCAGTGAAATTTTACAAGCGCGAAGAAGCTTTTGACCCGACACCTGAAGGGGGAGACCGACGAAGCAGATCGACCGCTCGGGCTCCTCCACAGCACCTGGCTGAAAAGCGGTTCAGCGCGGCTTCAGTGCATCCATGACTTGTGAGAGATCAGTGCTCCGTTGGGGCGAAGCACCCGGGTCCCTGTAGGATTGCAAGGCAACAACCCTGGGTCCACAAGACATGCTCAGGATTTGTGGCTGTGGATGCCCCGCATTGGAAAGATGCCTGCATCTCTTCTGCTTCTGCCGCATGGAAGTCTCTAACCCACATGAGGTAAGGCTAGCCCCCAGCTGCACATCCAAGTCTACGTTACGGCTACACTTCGGTTGTGAAGGTGCACCACACGGCCAACACAAGAATCCATGGAGCCTCAAGTGCACTCTGCAGAACGGACTGTATTCAGTAGCACTGTGGCTATATTCCATGTAGGGCAGTTGCTTCACAAGAACTCTACGAAGTGTCAGTTTCCTCAAGTCCCTCATCACCCTCTTTTGCACCAACCCCCACATGCTTCGCCCTGAAATCACCCAGCTCGCCTCCAGTTGCTGCGAGCCCTGGGCCCAAGGGGCTGTTTTCACTCAAAACTGTGGGCCCACCTCTTGTGAAACTTACAATGGTCATCAAGACCAAGGGCTTCGCTGGGCAACAGCGAACTTGAAAGCGAGGCCGCTGCAAACCCCAGCTCGCAGACCCAGGCCAAAGGAGTGCCCGAAGCCTCGCCTCCGTGCCATCCTCGCCACCCCGCACAGCTGCGTGGGACCAGTAAAGGACCACATCGACCTGACCTCCAGGGCTCCATCTGTAGCTGCCATGCCTTGTGTAGAGTGCCTGAAGTGCAACTTGGAAGTGAGGCCCCGACCCAATGCTTCCACGGGAACAACCTCAAGGCTTGCGATTGAGAAGAGCACCTTTCTTGAACAACCTAACGTGGGGCGCGCTGCCCGCAGCGTTCACTTGCAGCGTTCACCAAGGTTTTGAAAGCTCACTCGGATGGGTCTGTGTGACATCTGGGCAGGTGCAGGGTTTGGAGCGCCGAGGCTGTGCCGAGACTTAACCACAGCAGGGCAGTTCAGGGTCGCAAGCCATACGTAAAGCATCAATCCTTGGTCCAACTGCGAATTCATCTTCTTCAGTGTCGGTGCCCAAGCCACGAGCACAAGTGGATCGTTTCATAGACGAAAAGCAAGCGCGCCTCCAGCCCCTGGTGTGTCTGTACAATGGTCGGGAGTGCCAAGATAGCTCTTGTACCTAAGCCTCCCTCCATGTAAGGGTCGCGAATAGTGTCTGATCACCTGTACAGCACGTGCGCATTGCCACGTCTCTTTGAGAGGACGCAGCACTGTATATCCCAGCATCGCTAAGCAATCCAAGGGCATGTCTCTCCGAAAGCCATCTTGGCCTCCTTCTGCAAGCCTGTGGCCAGAGTAGCAAGGCCCCTGGCCTCTTGTGACAGCGAGAGTCACAGCGTGCACTAAGTGAGCACGAGCCGCCTACGCTCGTTTAAGGCACAACGTATGTCAAGATTTTAGGTTATGGGCTGCAGTCACTCGCCTCACAAGAACGCCTCTCTCGCAAACATCCACTGCGTCACCACAACAGGCTGCATGAATTCCTGAGCAACGACGTGTCCAGCGTCTCGGGGTGTCTCTGGAGCGAACATGTTGCGAGCTGTGACTGATACAGCACCGGCTACTGACGCAGACTTTAAATCCACTTGCAATCCAGGTGTGACGGGAGGCTCGGGGCGGATCGTCCCTCGTCTACCAGAGAAGCCAGCAGCAGCTGCTTCCCCGACCTTAGATGACAGAAAGAATCCCTAACAAGCAGTTCAGGATTTGTTTTGCGAGAAAAAGGTGTGTCTGCGAGGCTTTGTCATCCGACAGAAATCGCACGAAAAAAAGGCTGGACCAACAAAACATGCCCTGCACAACGAAGCTGCTCTGTCCAATCGGCACATCCATGGTTGCAGTTGCACGGTTGGTTGCCCACGCAAAACAAAGCGACTGCGGTACACACACACACATTGCGTGGAACGGTAGGCCAGCTAAGCCTCATGTCAGTCACAATTCTGTGCTGAGTCGCTGTCGCATCGGTCACGCTGCTGCGAAGAGCCTTCAGGGACACTGTGAAATCGCGCAAAGTTGCACTGATGCCCAGGTAGACCCCAAACAGTACAAGACAACGACACGCACCACAAGTGACTATGGTAGGCGGACGACGAACCCATCGAATCCACGTGCAGGCCGGGGCACGTCACCAACCAGGACCCTTTACATTCAAAACAAGACCCCGAGAGTGGGGCGCACACTGTTTGAGTGAGTGAGTGAGATAGTGAGTCAGTGTCGACTGCCTACCATCCGCGTTCCTCTCGATTTCTCAAGGGAGCTCCGATGAACGTCATCGCCCCCCTCCGCCACAGAGTTCAAGCGAAAGACTTTAAAGAAAAGAAAACATCCGGGCACCTTTTGCGGCACTGGATAAGAGGGCAGAAAGTAGGCTTGAAGCTACAGCTCTGGAAGCCACAGCATTTCCAGATGTTGGGGCAGCGTGACGAGGTGGCTGGTCGTGGAATCACGGGGGCACGACGCCATGGACGGGATGGCAAGGAGGCTCCTGGTGGGCGCACAATGCGGATCAATCGTCGCGAACGTCGTAGAGTGGGGGGGATGCCAGCCTCACGACGAGCGAGCTTCTTCCACCATTCATCCAAGGGTGGTATCTCCCGTCCTGGCCGATGCGGGGTTGGACAACAACGAGAAGAACTTTGTCATGACAGCCTTGGTAGATGTCTTCACGCCCCAGAGCACGGAGAGCATCAGGGGTCTCAGCCACCGCTGCCGCACTCACATCCGCAGAGGGCGGCGGCACTACCGCACTTACCCCAGCTGCGGCAGGCGGGGACAAGGGCTACAGGGGCTGCAGCGATGGCGATGCAGGCGCTTGAATCTACAGGTTTGGAAGCCACAGAAAATCCGGATGTCCCGCCTACGCCTACGGCAGCTACACGTGTTGCAGAGATGGCGACGCAGGTGCTTGAAGCTACAGCTCTCTGGATACCACAAAGAATGTAGATGTCCTGCCCACACCTACAACAGCGACAAAGGCTGCAAAGTTGGCGACGAAGCTACAGCTGCAGTCCGTATCGGAGTGGGACAGAACTCCATCAGAGCAGTAGGAGACGTGGATCATGGACAGCCAATCACAACCTGTGCCGGGAATACGTAGACTGCACGCAGGAATGAAAAACAACAAAAACAACAACTGTTTTGACGAGCTGCAAGATGGATCAGAAGAAGATTAGGATACTCGCCTGCGCCTACAGGAGCTACAGAGTCTGCAGAGATGGCGACGAAGGTGCTTGAAGCTACAGCTCTGGAATTCTGGAAAATAGATGTCCCGCCTACGACACAGAGACTACAGTCGCTGCTGCAGAAATGGCTCTCGGAGACGCGATCCCACACGATTGCGCGGATATTCGGCACCTTAAACCTGTCGGCACCAATTGGTTAGGCGTGGTGGTGGACGGACAGCACGCGCCGAGGCAACTGGAGGAGCTACCAGAAGCGGACGACGAGATGCAGCAGCCGGGTGCAGAAGGGCGACGTGGTGGAAATGGATGACGAAAAGAGCCGACGGCGTGAACAACATGCATGCATTCCAAGTGCCGGAGCTGCTTACTTTTGGCCGACAGCCAGCAGATGTCCCGCCTGCCAGAAGGAAAGCCACGCAGTCTTTGAAAAGCTACAGCTTTGGACGCCACGGAGATAAATGTCTCGCCTGCGCCTACAGGATCTACAGTGGCGGCAGAGATGATGGCTACAGAAGCCGCAGAGATGGCGGCGAAGGGAAGGGCAGAAAAGGCCAGAAAGCTAAAGTGTGAGAAGCGGATAGTGTTTAACATGTATACGGGCAACTGGGCAACACGGGCATGTGGAGCCTTCAACCACCTGGACACGCAGGTGCCGTGAACTACATGCAGGCGAAGGAAGTGTTCGAAGCGGACGCCTGCTTACATGGCACTGTCGCCCTAGCAGAGGAGCACAGGGGGCAGGTGCTCATCGAGAAAGTTCCCTTAGTGCCGCCTCCAGGGTCACCAACCCCCGCTAGTCACAAAGCTCCCACTCCCTGCAATCTGCTAGGGCGGAGGGCACACTGTTTGGGGAAGAATGGTCTGCAAACGCCTGCAAAGCCTCCCCTCCAATTCCAAGGTCGCGGCACAACGGAAAGCCTGGCGCTTAACAACCTGACGTGCCTTTGTCCCGAGACCTTTAGGGCCATGTGCAGGCTTGAGTTCAGAATTCTTGCATTTGACATGAATGCCCACCTTCCCAGCACCTACACCTGCTTCCCGAACCCCAGGGAAGACACGCCTGGTCAATGACATAATGATACACCATTTGGGACAACGACAACGTTACAACCTAGTCTCTTCGGCATTGAGCACCAGGCCGGGCCTTCGACCATCTTGCAAGTAACTGCCCCTAAAAGGAAGCTCGCCAGGACCTTGAAGTCCTCCGAAGCTTTGGCTTCAACAGTTGCGCAGGCTTGTGCAAGAAGGCTCTACACCTGGGTTTTGATCCCTCCGCCGAAGCGATCAGGGCTTCGGCGATTGCAGATTGTAAAACATTGCAAGTCGTAGGCATTTGGAGCTGCAACGTTCGCGGCCACTTCCTGCTCCTTTCGACTTCAAATGTGTGACCGAATACTTCCTTAGGCGCACACAGAGTTGTTCAGGGGCTACTAGACTTCGTGTTTAGTCCTCGTTCTGAAAGTTGTCTTGGGTCTACGGATGCAGGTACTCAGTGCAGGGTTGAGCGTTGAGGAAGGGTTGAGGGCAAGATTCAGACTACAAAGCAGGGCTGTGCTTTGAGGGAGGTGAGCTAAAGATTGAGTTCAGGATTCAAGAGTGCAGGGAGGGCTGGTTCCTTCCAGGGATACGCTAGACTTTCGCGGAGCTAGACTTTCGCGGAGCTTTCGCGGAGCTTTCGCCAGTCTTTCACTACATATTGCCTCCTGGAAAAACGGGCTTCCTAAAGCTGGGCCTGGTGTTTGTTGACTTTCGTCAAAACTTTTCACCAAACAGTTTCCTTTCGCCCGCCCGCTCCCGAATCTTTAGCGGACGCTCTACATAAAATGCTTACAAGGACTTTAGATCAACACCCTCTGAGTTTGTGGGGGAGGAATGCACGTCCTGAGCAGCTGCGCATTGGCTGTACTCTCCACCGCCTACGCAGATGGGACCTCAGTTCTTGAGGTGCCCCCCAGATGTGAGCTAAAGAGGTGCAATCTGCGCAAACACCAAAGTCCGAACCATCCGTCGCAACCTCTTCCCCCGTCACCAAAAACTGTCTTTCAAGACGGCTTGGGCCAGGGCATCTGCTCAAGATGCCAGCGCCAGTCAGAAAGCCAATGGAGGTCGCCGCCAATGCGATTGCAAGGATAAAGTGCAGCCTTGAGAAAGTGGACGCTTCGGCCACGTGTAGTTCTGGCGTAGCTCAACACTGGCACATGGGGCAATGTGACTCATGCATCACCTCACATCACCTCTCCAAAACACCGCCTCCCTTGAAGTACGAAGCTACTGGTCTAGGCTCCGATGGCCCGAAATTCCGCCGAACTCCTGTGGCTGAATGAGAAACAGGCACGACGATCCAACTTCCAAACCCAGCGTCATACTGAAAGACAGGGCGTCACTCTCGACACACCTGAGCAAGTTCATCACCTGCGACGCGGGAGCTCGTCCAGGCCCCCGCCCACCGCCAAACAAAGAAAAGGACGCACAAAAAACAGGCCAGGCCTTTTCGCGGAGGAGCCTTACGCACCCAGACGCCGGCGGGCTAAGTGAGCCCCAAGTGAGCTCGAGCTGAGAGCCCAAACGATAGCCACATAGGGGGGCACTTATATGTCTTTTTTGATGCTCGGACTTTTCACTTTCGAGGCCATGCGCAACTCGGTTTGGTTCGTCTTCGGGTTCGGTGGATGGCCTAAGCCCAAGGTTCCAGGCAGATCGTTCTCTATTTCCCCGGAAGACAAAACAGGCATTGCCCAGTTCATGGACATGTCTGTGCAGTTGCAGGGAATGTCGGGACATTGCTTGAAGAACAGCGAATGCGGATAGAAGGTCCCCCTGATACAAGAGCCGAAGACGTACATGCCCGTGCCTCAAAGGCTACAAATGTCTCTGATGTTTTTGACCCGGGTCGCCATAAGAACTGGGGCCGGCGCAGAGACCATGTCGAAGGAAAAGTGCTCCGGGTTCCAGCCGCTACCCACCTGTAGCTGCGGCTGCACGGATTCGCATGTAAACAGCAACCCATACACCCCCATGGACCATGGCGCACGAGTGCTGATGAAAGCCGAGGCCACGCAATCCCCCGCCCCCCCCCAACCTCAAAACCCATTCCCAACCTGTAGAAGCACCTGGGATGCCCACCCGCAATGCAGCGAGCAAAGGCGACCTGAAGAGTGCACCGCATTTGACCATGTGCTGCGACCGTCCTTGAGAGGTCTGCATCAAAACAATTCAAGGCACTTCTGAATGCGACATTGCGGCTAAACATGCTGAGAGCTGAGGGCGACAATATTTGAGCACCAGCTCATGGTGACATGCCGCCACACTTGCAAGTTCCTAGTGCACCTGCTGACAAGCAGGGACTCAACCAGTGACAGCTGGATCTGTGCAAGGCCGCTATTCTTCCACAAAGCCAGAAGCCTCCAGACTTTTCAGTTCCACCCACCAGATCTAGAACGGAATGACGGCTGTAACGAACCTCGAGCCCGTGACCTCGAGGACTGGTGGACACCCTTACAACCATGCCTCGAGGTGGCCGATGCGTTCAGGGCCTCCCCGTGCCGCATGATGCGCTGCGCGATGCTACACAAACAAACTCATGGCCCTTGCACATTACATTGCAATACATTGCACAGCTGCACTTCCTGTCTAAGTCTCTCAGGGCCTATGTGCTCGGAACGGCATAAATTCACGGGGCTCGGCCTCTGCTGGACGAAACGCGAGCTCTTCCAGCACCTGACAGGCTGGGGGATTTCAACCTAGGGTTTTTTTGGGGAAATGCTGGGAGTGTGCAAATGTTGAAGTTGAAGAACTCTGCTGCTATGACTGGCGGGGCGAGCAAGCCTTCTCTCCGATAACATGCCCTTCCCCACCCGCACTCCTCGACTCCAAGAGAAGCAAGTTTTGGCTGACCTCCTGGGGCCCGTGCTGCCCGCCCCCGCACCCGACATCGCCGGGCCGGAAGCAGCTCCTGCTGTGCTTGGCGCCGAAATGGGCCGAAGCTTGGCCCCCAAAACCCTCAAGGAAACCTGAGACCCTCATTTGACCCAAAGCTCCTTGGACAGCACAGCGCACGGGAGGGCACATGAGGCCCTGTAGCGCCTCACTGCAAAAAGGGCGGCGCGCCTTCTCGGCATGAACTTGTTTGCGTGAACCCCTCTATGAAGGCCCACCTTTTCAGCTTGGACAAAGCACATTTGTACACGCAACAATGAGGATCAATGAGGATCAATGAGGATCAATGAGGCTTTCCAGCTGAGGCTGAGGGCCTTTGTGCGAGGAACCCACCTAGTTCGAAAAGCCCCCTGCACGCAGCACCAGGCTAGCACCAGGCTTTTGCACGGGGCCCCAGGCTGCATACCAAAGTAGACGCCGTCGCGCGGCGCCTCCTTCCATGCCTCTCAGGGCGACGCTGCTCTGTCCCCAGATGCTTCTTAGCAAGGTCCTCTGCTTATCTCTGACTGTGTTGGGTTCTTTGACTGGCTGCGCAGTGCTGCGCAGGAGCATAGCTGTAAGTGGGCTCTGGGAAGCACTCCCAAAAATCGCTTTTTGCGTTGAAATACATCTCATGGAACGCTGGGGGCGCACCGCAACCTTCTCTGGCGCAAGGGCCTCGCAAGGCAACACTAGGCCTACAATGGCACAGTGGCAGAGCTCAGCGTTCTGGAGCAGAGACGAAAGAACTTAAAATTTGGGGGACAAGAACTGCACCGACACTCACCCCTGGCAAACCCTTCATTGCGGAACTTCGCTAAGCATCGGAGGGAAGGCCCCGGCCGAAGTAGTTGCTTGAAAGAGCGCCTGCAAAGGCTCGGGCGGCCATGGTCATCAAACGGAGGAATACGCAGGGAACTTGGCTGCAGATGCAAGGACAACAGAATGGTCAGGCAACCCGTTAGAAACTGCTTTGTAGCGTGTTGTCCACACCATATTCCATCAAAGCCTGCTACTCCAAACCGCGAGATGCCAGGTTACCAGGACTTGCCAGCTACAACGGGCACACAACCAGAAAATTACCAAAAGCTCGCGTGACGCAGGCCTCCCATGACCCGGAACTTGAGTTGCAAGACAACCCACGACTCCAAACAGCGCTTCAGCTTCCACAACTCAGATAGCAAATACGATCTCTCGGAGCCTGCACCATTGTAAAACAGAATCATTCTTGGGACCGAATTCATCACCAATTCTGTTTCTATGGGACCAATCTTGCTAAGTACCAACCGCCACGAGCTCAAGAACCGCAACACCCGAGAAACCTAGACCCTGCGGTCACCTTGAGCCACGCCAGACGCCTGGCCGCCTTCACCGGCAGCCAGGGACCTAGACCAGAATGTTTGGGCTGCCGTCTCAGGACGCAGGGTTGAAGCTTAGAATGGTGCAAAGATAAAGGATTAACGAAATCACGGCATATCACAGCCAAATAAACCGACAATGACCTGATGTTGACTGAGCCCCTGCATGTGTGTGGTGGTGCCTGCACTGCCCCAGGCGACATCAGCGCTGCGGCCATCAATGGCGGCATCGATACGATCCTGCTGAAGCCGCTTGGCCCACGGCCCACGTGGCTGTTTACGTGCGTGTGGGGTTAAAGGTTAAAGGTCCTCGAAACAAGGTGTGCGCATTCCGCCTCTCGCGACTCGGGTATGTTGATTTGAGCTCGAGGCACCACCTGCTGGTTCCCCCGAAACCGGAGCCAAACACCATGTACTGGTGCCCTGAAGCCCGAACCAAACACCATGTACTGTCCAACTAGCAGTGGGTATCTCTTCTCTGCTCGTATCAGAACCGAACAGAACTCTCGTCATTCATCGAAGAAAAAGCACGCAACTCCGAGAAAGATGCTACCGCTACCTCAACAAAACTCTTACGTGGATCTTCGCGAGGCTAAAGAATCGGACCCCTTGTCCTGAAGAGCTAGCGTCAGGTTGTTGTCAAATTTCCGTGCGAAAAAGACAGCCATGCCTTTGCCTGCCAAGGAGTGCCGGCATTCCAGCGTATAATGTTCACGAAATTCAATGCGGAACAAAGCCGGGGGCTCTCGAACCGCTGTGAGATTGGAGCTGCCAGGACCTGCCTTTGGCCTGTAACAGAACTGGACTAAAGGTGCAGTCCCAACAGGATTTGGAAATCATCTTGTACCCTAGGCAGTCCATCTTGCACTGCTCAATTCCAGCCCAACCTCCCCGAATCTCCCCAAAGTTGCCGGGGCACTTTTCACCTCGGCCAGCAGAGGCCAGAAGCTCTCGTTGAGGACGGGTGGCGACAGCATCTTCAGCTCCTAACTTCGAGCAGCTTCGCTGAGGGGCTCTGCACTTTCCAAAGGTTCCTTTGAGGAATTTTCCCTGGTGAGGGTTTAGCGCCTAGGGGATAAAGGCAATTTCCCGGAGACGCAGGCTGCCAAGAAGCAGGCCCCGCTACCTCGGGTGACGAGGCATCTGGGGCCAACCGAGGCCGATCCTCGGGTGAAAGGTAAGTTCAGAGCTTGGGGGACATTGGGGGCTGCCTTCCTTGCTCGGTCAAAAAGCAAACTGCTTGCGAGAATAGGCCAGAGACATAGACATCAGCCCGGGATCCCAGATGTGAAAGCCCCAGCGGACATGCCGGTGGCAGAAAGGGCCTGGGGCAAGGTGCACAGCAAAATTGCAGGTGGCTTTGCATCTTTGGGGTCGCTTCGGTCGCGGCGACCCCTAGGCTTGGAGTTTGAAGCTTCAGGACACGTCGGAGTCATGAGTCGTGCAGATGCGCTTTCCATACCAAGGCGGCGACTGTTCAGCGACATCGTCCTCAGCCAAGCCCCCTAACATGCGCATCACTGTGCCAGAGCTGCCAAACAAGACCTGGGTCCAAAAGCTTATCCGACAGGAGCCGAGCCACTGGAAAAACTTCTCGTCAGGTTGCTGGAGGATGCCTTGATGTGGCATTGCTTCAGTCGAGAGATTGTTCGACGGTTGGGTGCTCAGGCTTTGGGGCTTCCATCACGGGCATCTGCTGTGGGGACTCAAAACACTTTCACCCAAGACATCCCACGCAGCCAAAAACACCCTGCTCAGCATGGATACTCAGATCCTCCAGTACTTGCTGCACGGGCGTGAGCGCCACGTCCCGATTTGTGTCCTTGGAGTTTGGCAGGGATAGTTTCGCATTACGTCATGTTCTAAAAGTATTTTTCAACGAAACCTCAAGCAACCTTGAATAAGTTCCGCACGATCGGCCACAGCTGCTGATGCTTCCTGTATAGTCATCTAGGAGCCCCACATGGAAACAGATATCCAAAATTGGGTTCCTGCCCTTCAAAACCGAAGATGAAACCCAGGCCCGAAACCGAAAGCCTTCAGCAGAAAGTCAGAACTCCAGACAACCTCCGAGGGCTGCAACCCTCTGGTTCCTGGCATCCAAGCGTCTATGTAGTGCGCAAAGTCCCATGTGATGGCCTTGGCTGTGGCTGCAGGGGCTCATGCCTTTTTTTGGCCAAGGTATCATAAGTTTGGACCCAGAAGTCCCAAGCGACCCGAAAGCGCAACAAAGCAGAACCTCCCCCCCCCCCCCCCCCCCCCCCAAGAGCTTGCGGCGGGCGACCACCAGGTTCGGCCCCGAGGCGTGGTTCAACTCGGGGCGCCGGGGATACCTGAAGGTATGCCGGAGGCATTGCAGAGAGGCTTTGCAGGGAAGGTGCAGGAAGAGCTTGTGGCCTGACACAAGCAGAGAAAGCACTTTCTGAGGCGTTCTAGAACTTTCTGGGGTTCTCCCCTCCCCCCCGACCCGCCGGGTCTCTGGAGCGATGGAGTACAGCTCATCCTTGCACTCGTAGACCAGATACCGCCCGCAGTCACAGTCCTCTTGAACGCGTTTTGGTGCCGCATTGCAGGGCTTCAGAATTGCGCTCTGTCACTGACGGGCCAAAGCATGCCACACGTATCCACGAGATGCACGAAACTTGCACGACGTTCGACCCACATGTCACAATGCCTTCCTTCGCTCCTTGTAGGCTGAGCCGATGTTCACAAAGTTGCTGCCGTTGTTCAACCAAAGAAAACGCCGCAGGGAGGCTAGGTCCGCAACGGGATAGTCTGAGTCCTCTGCTTGGCCATGCAAAGTCAAGTGACAAGTGATAAAGTGCCTCTTGTCTCGTCAAGGCACGTATGAGGCGATGAATGAAAAGGTGCACATCGGACCCCACTCCAGAAACAAGATGATTCAGCAGCATGTTGGGCAGGCGAAGCTTCGCTTCCAAGGACATGCACTAGAAGCGGCTGCTCGGGCCACGACATTGAGGTTGATGTAGTAGTCCCACCCCTCCACCTGAGACAGGATAGCAAGCCTCTTTTAATACCTCTCCCCTTTGCTGACTTCCGAGCTCCGGTCATTTTGAAGGAGCCAGGACATACCCCAGAGCCAAACTGCAAGAGTGCTGACCTCAGCTTCCGCCTAGCCAGCATTCCCTTTAACCCTTTGACCCAAGGAGAAAACTATCCTTAGGAAAACCGCAGAGTCCTCCAAACAAAGCCAAGTGCTTCAGAGCAGCCAAAGCCTCGACAAGATTTCTTTTGGCCCGCAGAAAAAAATAGCCAAGCCGATCTCCCCAGACTCCAGCGACTGCGACTCGCATCCCAAAGGCCGTCTCTGAGCTTCCCCACGCCACCCCGGTTCACACGGTACCTGGACCTCAAGGAGACTTTGTCCTCGAGCCCCAGGCGACCGACCTTGCACACTGGATAAAGCGCTGCTGAGGCATGTGTCTACAGGTCAAACATGGTTTAAAAAACAGGTCGTCCAAGACCTATCAATAAACTCGGTGGCGTCTGCTGTGTCTGCAGAACGGGTTGCCAGTGCTGGAAGTACATGATGGTTAAGCGTCTCTGTCTATGCGCCGGAGAATGGCCCTGGCAAGCCCGCTCAGGTCGGAGCCGACTCCTCGAGCAATTGCAAGTAGTCGGGACCTTTGGATGGAGTTCAAGGGGAGTTGAGTGCCTTTGGCACACAAGGAGGCCAAGCTCAGATCTCATGGTGACATGAATGCCAGCACTGACGAGAAGCGTCCAGCGTACTGTGATGCAGCGTGTGTACCGTGCATATCAAATGTACCCCTGATGTGCCAGCTCCAGCGCCAGCTCTCGCCGGCGCGACAGCTGAGTGTCTGGCGCTTTTCGTCGACGTGCCTTTGCACATCAGCGAGTCGGGCTCATTGAGAAACGGATGTGCATGGTTTCTCTGCGCGCTAGCCGAGCGACACCAGGACGTGTCGGGAAGCAGGCGCCAAGCGCTGCAGCAATCGCCCAACCTGAGTCGGGGCTTCAGTCCTGGTGATCTTTGTCTGTTCGCGCATCATTCCAAGATTGCGGCGGCTCCTTTTGTTCGCTTCCCCGCATCGCACGGACAGCACCATCGTCCGGGCCCCGTGAGAAGAGCCGCGATCTCTTTGAGGTTCTGGAGCTCGTGGGCCGATATCGCAGGCTGGACATCACAGCAGGTCCCCAGATTTCTTCTGGCTCTAGTCCTTGTCGGCACTCGGCTTCAAGTGGGGACCGTGTGCCTTTGCCTTTCTCCACAAGACGTTCAAGACCCTGACAAAGGCCACCAGATGACACTGGCGAAGAGCACGGAGACAACACCTAGCAGATGGAGCTAAGCTATCGAGGTTATTTAGGACTCTGCGACGGACTGGCAGCATACAGGAGTCGAACATCAAAAGCTCCTTGGCCTTGGCGCCCTCGTTGCCGATGTGTGCTCACCACGCCTTGTTCAGCGCTGCACGCCACCTGGCACCATGTCCATGTCCTATGAGCGCTGCGGATGATAACAAAAACCTGCATGATTGACGTTCCAAACTCCCGAAATCCTAGACTGCAGCCGTAGCATAATATATCTAGGAAAACTCTACACCATTTGGCCCATTCCGAAACTCTCAACGTGCCTTGCTGGCGCATGTACTCCAGCACCTCGCATGGCGGACCTCCAAGTCTGCACCCCACCCCCCCCCCCCTCCGCCTCATTCAAACACTTGGCCACCGTTTCCACACCCCCTGCACCCGCACGGGGCCTTGCAGAGCTGCCTCACTGAGCACCAAGAAATCCGCTGGGTTGACCGGGTGCAGCACCGAGGCGTCCATGGGGCAGTCGCTAGGCATGCGGCGTCCTTTCGGGCAGAGGACGTGCAGAGATTGCCAAAAAGAAAGGGACATGGAGAGACGTCCTGGGTAGACCCCGGGCATAGGCTCCCGGTGCAGCGACAACGGCTCGATCCAGGCGCTCAGAGCCGCACCGGCACCCTGTGGCAAAAGCTTTTCCGACTTTCAGGGGGCTTCATTGCGACCGTCAACAAGCAGAGGGCTATGGTGGGCTTAGGTGAAAAAACAAGGCCGTTTCCCAATTTTGGGGCAAGCAAACAAGGTATACTCGAGCCGACTCGAGCCCTTGCTTTACGTCAAGGGCCTCCCATGGGCTTCTTTCGTCTGTCCCCAACTTCGGGGCTCCTGATTGACATGCCTTCATCCCTGACATGCCTCCAAGTTTCCGGACGGTCTGCTGCTAGCACAAATTCAAAGGCTTTGGGTTCGGGATGGTTCGGGGCATGCCCCCCCTCTAACTCCGACCGGATCACCCCCGTGCAAAGACACCCGACTCACCACGCACCCCAAGAATCTCAGCTCCAAGTTCGGCACGGCGCCTCTATGTCCGTCCGCAAGCGCTTGACCAAACGTTTGGAGGCCAACAAGTGGAAGACATCCTCCGCTGAACCCAAGATGCGCATCACACTCTCAACTTTTGCAACCCTTCGTCCTCCCCCGACCCCAACCCCCAAAGTCCCTCCTGCGTAAGTACCACGAAGACGAGGCTGAGCCTGGGCGCTCAATGTCAGCCTACAACCTCTGCTACGAACAATGGCAAGAACCGGAGATGCTTGGATCTGCATGGATCCGCCACTGGACGACGTTAGGGGCCAGCGTCTCTCCACTTCATTCGCGCAGTGTTTCAGGCAGCTCGATTGAGCTTCTGTGGGCAAATAACCTTCAACGAGAGGATGCTAGACTAAGCAAGGCACCCTGCCGTCTGCCAGTCGCTCTGCCAGTGGCCAAGCACCGTTCCTGGGTGGCTGCCCGTTCTGGCATTCTGGCTTGGCTTGCATTGACCGAGTAACCCAGGCAAATGCCCAACCCAACACCTGGAACCTTTTTGCCAGGAAACGAGACGCCGCATTGCCAGCTGCCTGCTCAATCTCCGACACCTTGCCCAGAAGCCTCGATTTGGAAAAGTGGAAGAGGTATGCCACAACCTGCTGGAGCCCTGTGGCCGTTACGGAAGCCTTGGAGATTCTCAGCATTGCGCAGCTTTTTTGAGATCTCTGAAGCCTACCAGGCCCAGCCCAAACCTTCGATACCATTGGAGACGAAGCCGCACAGCGACGTTCACGAAAGCATCCTGGGCCAGGGGGAGTGGCTGAGGTGGCAGCACGGCGTTGTCAGCGCCTCGCGATTTTTTGTTTCGAGCACGCTGCCACGCTTGGCCGCAGAGGAACGGGCCTCCTGGACAATGGCGAGCCAGCGGAACTGGAAGCGCTGCCTGGGAGCTCCGGTCTTGTTGCCAAGGCTGAAGCAGGAAAGCTTGCTGTGGGGCTGCCCGTCCGTGAGAGTACAGGGATCTGTTGGAAGCCAAGGTGCAAGAAGGCAAAAGCCCAGCGAAGCTGCTCCTGAGAGCGTCACCGTCAGCTCTTTCAGAGACCCCCCCCCCTTCCCTGCACATTTCTTTTGCTAGAATTGTGTCGACATCCGAACTTTCGGGCCTTGTTGCAGTTCGAGGCAACAGATACAACAGGATGCAACAGGCTTGCCGTGCGAGACCTTGACCGCCTTAACCTGCAGATTCAGCAGCCGAGGAGGGTTCGGCCGTGGTCGGCTGGCCGGCCGAAGGCAAGTAGACGATGTCACCAAACTCGGCCTCCTGTTAATGTGGTGTTATGGAATTTAAGTAATTTAAGGATTTCTTGAGTCTCAGGTCTGCGGAATTCAACCTGAAAGCTTCGGGTGTCAGAGCTCGCCTCAGGGTTGACTAGGCGCTATGACGGCCACAGATCCTGCCCCCCACGGCATAAGCACACCGCGGTCAGTACTTCAACAGCACTTCCAGTGCTCCAACTCTGGAGAAGGTTACAAGTTGAGTAGCGGGCAGAGCCTGAAGCGATAACATCGCAAGCTACCGGCTTCTGAAACAAATGCTCACTAGCATCCAGGTGCGACCCTGGACGAAGCTCATGACTTCAAACCGACAGCCTATGTGCCACCTCAGTCTTAGTCTTAACAAAGCTCAAGCGCGTTAGTCTGCCCATGTGGACACCTCGTCGGCCACATAGGGAACATCAGCTGCAGCCTCACAGGATTTGGGAGCTTCGCGTAGGCTTTGGAGCGCTAAGGCTCGTGGTTCAGGCCTTTCCTTGTTCTTCCTGCTATTCCTGCTCTTCCTGCTCTTCCTGTTCATCCTGTTCGTCCTGTTCTGCTGAAAAAAAAGGCAACACCCGGCCTCGTCCAGAAAGAATGCCCAGCTCACCGCCGCCAGGTCAGCAAGCCGGGGCAACCAAGCCATCCTCGGAGCCCCAAAAGGCCCAAGACTGCTTGGTGGCCAAGGCTTTTAGGGCTCTTTTCAATCTTTTGGGATGTTGACAGGCTCTTTTGGGCGCTTCAAGCGTTTTCGACTTTCACACACAAACGCCAGCATCGTGCGGCGTCTGGTGGTTGGGGTTGGGGTTGGGGTTCTCGAAGCTACGACCCTTGACTGCCACCCTCAAACTTGCCAGGCTTGACGCCCGCAACACCAGACTCACGTGCAGAAATGTCTGGTCCCATTACTTTCAGTGACGAGGTGTGATGCCGCAGGCCTGCATGTGCGAAGACAGCTTCGTACCAGTTTGAGCAGTTTTAGAGAGCTTTTGGAGCCTTAGAACGACTGAGTGCCGCGAGGTGACTGTGCCTGCTCCTCCTCACCGCGCAGAAGGCGGCGAAACTGGGCGCCGGTGTCCGTGGCCGAAGAGAAGACAGCCACAAAGAACCTCGGGGATCGGCGGGTTGGAACTAGGGTTTGCAGTCCATCGGCTTAATGACTTAAAATTTCCCAAGATAGCGGGGAGTCTACAGTTGCACGAGTCAAGCACATCCCGTCGTCCTGAAACGGCCAGCAAGGGGCATGTCGAACTCCACCTGGGCCACGCGGATGCGGAGATAAGCACTGGGCGCGAACGCCGTTCTCCGGCTCAAAACCTTGAGACCTTGAGACTTGGCCCGAGATAACCCGCAACCACATTCACCTCCAACCATGGCCATGACGCTGGCGGATCCGGCTGGGGGCCGCAGGTGTCGTCCGATATCTGCCAAGGCGGCACGTCCTGTGGTCGAGCGAATCATTTTGCTCAATGCCTAGTTTGCTGCGGTTTGCGGCTTCGGGGAAGGATTTCAGGCTCAATCCAAGCGGTGGGGACGAAACGGGAGTTTGCCGTCTCTGTCGCATGGCCTTGGATATAAACTCATTGTGGTCTGCAGCACTGAGGGCATCGTACTTTTGAAGCAGGTACCTGCAGCGGAGTTTCTGGCTTGACCACTAACAATCTTAAGTCTATGTAGTTGTGACCGTTTTCGCCAAAAAAAACACACAAAACTGCCAAGTCGGCCAGAGGGTGCATCATGCTGGGAAAGCCGACCTTTGTGAACTCTTTGGTCATGAGCTCCTGCATGCGATCCCTCCGCTGCTTGTACTCACCCTTCATCTTCACCCGGAAATGTGGGAAGGTCGAGTCGAAGCATACGGCTGCCTGCAGGCCCAGGTAACTGTTCGAATAGAAGAACTGCTCGTGCTCCCCGACCCGCAGGTTATCCTGGAACTTGAAGCCCCGCAACCGGGCAACCCTGCCCAGAAAGGCCATGGGATGGATCCCCACACGTGTGCAGCCATCCGGGGCCCCATCAGCCACCATGGGATCCAGATAGAGCCGGTTGCTCGTGGCGCGCAGCTGACCGCGGAAGGCCCCGAAGTTGCGCTCATCTTCGAGGATGGGGAAGCCCAGGAGGTCGAAAGGTAGGGTCAGCGAGTGCAACTGACTTCGCATGTGCCAGAGCATGCACTCCAGGCATGACAGAGGTGATCGCACGAAGTCATCGTCCAGCACAAGGAGGAATTCCGTCTGCACCCGATGAACCAACAGCTTCTTGCCACGGGACAAGCCGAAGTCAAACGGGACATCCACGACAGACATGTGCGACACGCTGGGATGCGGGCGCTCCTTGAGCCCTTCGCAGT